TTCAGAAATCATGGAGGCCAGAAGACAATGGAATGGTATACAAAGTCCTAAAAGAAAAAAAATAATTGTTAAATAAGCATTCTATTTCCATCAAAACTATCTTTCAAAAATTAAGGAAAGGGGCTTGGGTTATAGCTCAGTGGTAGAGCATTTGCCTAGCATGTGTGAAGTACTGGGTTTGATCCTCAGCACCACATAAAAATAAATAAAACAAAGGTATTGTGTCCATCCACAACTAAAAAAATTAAAATAAAGAATTAAGAAAAAATAAGCAAAATGAGTGAGTTTGTTGCAGGTAGACTTGACTATAAGAAATGCTAAAGGGAGCCAGGCACGGTGGTGCACACCTGTAATCCCAGCAGCTCGGGAGCCTGAGGCAGGAGGATCTAGAGTTCAAAGCCAGCCTCAGCAAAAGCAAGGCGCTAAGCAACTCAGTGAGACCCTGTCTCTAAATAAAATATAAAATATGGCTGGGATGTGACACAGTGGTTGAGTGCCCCTGAGTTCAATGCCTGGTGTTCCCCCCCCCCCGCCAAAAAAAATAGCAAAAGAAATGCTAAAGGGAATCCTTCATGGTGAAACAAAAGGGATACTAAAATAGTAATTCACAGGCTTACAAAAAAAAAAAAAAAGATCCCTGGTAAAAGCAACTACATAAGGAAATATAAAGTTAGTGTTATTGCAATTTTGGTTTGTGATTCTTTTTTTCCTACATAATTTTAAAAGTAAAATGCATAAAACAATAATTATAAATCTATGTTAGTAAGCAAACAATATATAAAAATGTAATCTATCACAATAACAATATAAAGGAGAATGGACGAAGATGAATAAGAGTAGAGTGCTTATATACAATTGAAACTAAGTTGGTATTATTCAAACTAATCTAGATTTTTTTAGGTTTAAGATGTTAATTGTAATAACCAAGGCAACCACTAAGAAAATAACTACAAAACATACAGAAAAGGAATGCAGAAGATAATCACAATGGTATGCTACAAAAAGATGAACTAAATACCAAAAAAGGCAGTAATAGAGGAATTAAGGAACAAAAAGCATATCAGATGTGCAGAAAACAATATCTAAATTACAGAAATAAAGTCTTCCTTATAAGTAATTAAATCCTCCAATTAAAAGGCATATATTGGCAAAATGTGATTCAGCTGTATGCTACTTACGAGAGACTCACTTTAGATATAAAGACACAAAGACACCTTGAGCAATGACACACACCTGTAATCCCGGCGACTCAGGAGGTTGAGGAAGGAGGACCATGAGTTCAAATCCAGCCTCAGCAATTTAGTGAAGTCCTATCTCAAAAATAAAAGAGGCTAGGGATTAGCTCAGTGGTAAAATGTGTCTGGGTTCAATCCCCAGAACAAAGAGAGAGAGAAAGAGACACAACGTGAAAATAAAAGGATGCAAATAGTGTCCAAAAGAGAGCTGAGGTGGCTATATAATTGACAGACAAAATAGATTTTTAGTTCAAAAATTTTACAAGAGACAAAGATAGACATCATATATTTTTTAAAAAGTCTGATACAGCAAGAAGATACAACAGTTATAAATGCCTAATCACAGAGCTCCACAACACTGCAAGCAAACGTTGACAGAACTGAAAGGAGAAATTGGCAGTTCTTCAATAATAGCTGTAGAACCCATTTTTAATAGTGGATAAAACAACCTGATAAAAGATTAATAAGAGGCCATGCACGGTGGCACACACCTGTAATCCTAGCAGCTTGGGAGACTGGGGCAGGGGGCGTCGAAAATTCAAGGCCAGCCTTAGCAATTTAGTGATGGCCTAAGCAACTTATTGAAACCCTGTATCAAAAACAAATTTTTAAAAGTGGGGGGGGGGGCTAGGGATGTGGCTCAGTGATTAAGCACCCTGGGTTCAATCCCCAATACCAAAAAAAAAAAAAAATCAATAAGCAAACAGAAAATTTGAACAACACTATAAACTAATTAGACCTAACAGGCAAAATGAGAAGATTCTGCCCAACAACAGAGGAGTACACTTTCTTCTCAAGTGAACATGAAACATTCTACAGAACAGAACACGTTACGCCAAAAACCAAGTCTTAATGAAGTTTAAGACTGAAATCATACAAAGTTATCTTTTCCAATCACAATGGAAAGAAACTGGAAGTCCTTACAGATGTAAAACTAGAAAGCTCAGATATTCTGAAATTAAACAACATGCTTTTAGACAACCAAAGAATCAATGAAGAAAGCACAAGGGAAATTAGAAAGTAACTTGAGGCAAATAAAAACATAATATACCAAGCCATATATGATGCAGGGAAAGCAATACTAAGAGAGAAATTTATGGTTGTAAGTGCCTGCATTAAAGCAGAAGGATTTCTAGAGGATGTAGCTCAGCAGGCCCTAGGCTCAATACCCAGTATAAAAAAGATTCAAATTACTAAAATCAAAAATAAAAGTAAGACATTACTATCAATTTGTCATAACAAAAAGGATTATAAGAGAATAGTATGAACAACTGTATTCCAACAATTTGGAGACCCTAGATGAAATGAATAAATACCCAAAACACACAAAACTCAAGAAAACATCTGAACAGATCTATAACCAGTAAGAAGATTAAATCGGTAATAAAAAGAATCCTGATAAAGAAAAAACTCAGGAACAATGCTTTCACTCATGAAATCTACCAAAAATGTCAAGAATTAATTAATCAATCAATCAATCAATTTAATTAATTAAATAATTAACTAGTCTTTCTCAAACTCTTCTAAAAAAGTTGAAAAAGAGCTAACATTTCCTAACCCATTCTATGAGGTCAACATTATCTAGACAAAGATATACAAAGACACCACAAGTAAAACTACAGACCAATATCCCTTGCAAATATAAACACAAAAACCCCAATAGAATATTAGAAAAGCAAATTCAGTAACATATTAAAACAATTATATACCATGAGCAGGGGACATCTATTCCCAAAATACAAGTGTAGTTTAACATACAAGAATCAGCCAATTTAATATATCACATTAATAGATCAAAGGATCTATTAATGTGATATTTGATCCTCTCAGTTAATGCAGAAAATACATTTGACAAAATCCAATACCCTTTCATGATTTAAAAAATATATATTCAATATACTAGAAATAGAGGGGAACGTTTTCAACATGATGAAGGCAATAATTGAAAAACCCATAGCTAATGTCATACTCAGTGGGGAAATCCAGGTACAGTGAAGCACAGTAATCCCAGCAACTCAGGAGGCTGAGGCAGGAGGATCACAAGTTCAAAGCCAGCCTCAGCAAGTTAGTGAAGCCCTAAGCAACTTAGTGAGACCCTGTCTCAAAATAAAAAATAAAAGGGCTGGGGATGTGTGGTAAAGCACCTCTAGGTTCAATCCCCAGTACTAAAGAGAAAAAGAAAAAGAATATATATATATATATATAGATATATAGATATATAGATATATATATAGATATAGGTATAGATATAGATATATACACACACATACATATATATATAAATGTATATGTACTTATATATACGTACTTACATATATACAAATGTGTATGTGTGTGTGTGTATACACATTTCCTTGAAATTCCATATAAATTTTAGGATGGATTTTACTTTTTGATAGAGAATGCATTGAATATGTGAATCACTCTGGAGAGTATTATCATTTTAGTAATATTAAATCTTCTAAGCCATGAATAGGGGTATCTTTTCATTTATTTAGAAAGCCAAATCTTTAAAAAGAACAATGTTTTTGAATTAACATTTCCTGGTTTCAAAACTTCCTACAAAGCTACAATAATTAAAATAGTAATGGCAGTAACATAAGGATAGATATATAGACAGATGCAATGAATAAACCCTCACACATATGGTCAGTTATTTTCAACAAGGGTACCAAAACCACTTAATTGGGAAAGGACAGTCTTTTTCAACAAAAGGTGCTGGAAAACTGGATATCCACATGTTAAAGAAGTTGAATCCTAAGCCAGGAGTGAGGGTACACACCTCTAATCCCATATAATAGGGAGGTTAAAATAGGAGGATTGCAAGTTTGAGGCCAGCATCAGCAACTTAGGAACTAGGAGAGACCCTGTCTCAAAATAAAATTTTAAAAGGGGGACTGGGGCTGTAGCTCCGTGGTAGAGTGCTTGCCTCACAGGTGTGAGGCCGTGGGTTTGATCCTCAGCACAAGAAAGAAAGAAAAAGAAAGAAAGAAAGAAATATTTAAAAATATTTTAAAACAATTTTCAAAAGGGGAGGAGATGCTGGGGATGTAGCTCAGTGGTAATGTTTGCCTAGCCCTGGATTCAATCCCTAGTACACACAAACACATGCATATACCCATGCACAATGAAATTTGATTCTTACCTTATACTATACACAAAAAAAATTCATTCAGTATGGATAAAAGATCTAAATGTAAGAACTGAAACTCTAAAATCTTTAGAATAAAACAGGGAAAATCACCGTGAGCCTTGATCTGGTGATGATTTTTTTAAACACAACACCAAAAGCACAGGTAATGGCTGGGGTGGATTGGGGGTGGGTGGGGGTACATTAAACTTCATTGAAATTTTTAATTTTCCTGATTCAAAGGACATTAACAACAAAATGAAAGGACAACCCATAGAATGGGAGATTATGTTTGCAAGTCATGTGTCTGATAAAGGCCTATTATCAGATTTGCTTGAAGGAGAGAGAGTGTGGAGTCTAGAGCACGGGAGAGAGCTGTGAGGAAGCCACCAAAGTGCCCAGGGGAGCGGTGGCAAGGCTTGCACCAAGCAGTGTCTGAAAATAAGAGGAGGCCCTCATGGATTCGACCGATATTATGAAGGTCGAGTCAGGCAGCTTGGGAACTGTTTGGCTGTGTGGTTTTAATCCAGGCATACTAGTGAGGCTGAGCGCCAGGAGAGGGCTCAGCCAGCTTTCAGGAAGGAAAAGGAGGGGTGATGAGGGAAGTGAAAGTGTCAGACTGCATAAATAGGCAGAAGGCCAGTCCCAGCCCTCACAGAGACCCCCCAACTTTCAGCTGCCCATCTTGCCTACAGCTCTCGCCTCATATTCATACTCAGCCATAGCCATGGCTCAGACACTGGCTCTGAGCCTCCTTATCCTGGTCCTGGCCCTCTGCGTCCCCTGGACCCAAGGTACCAAGGAGGGAGGAGTCTTAGCTGGGGGAAAGGGGCTGGAGACATGTAGGTAATAGCTTTTAAGCAGCCCCTGTGTCCCTGTGAACCCCATTCTGCAGGCAGTGATGGAGGGGCTCAGGACTGCTGCCTAAAGTACAGCCAAAGGAAGATTCCCTACAAGGTTGTTCGCGGCTACCGGAAGCAGGAAGCAAGCTTAGGCTGCCCCATCCCAGCTATCCTGTGAGTGGCACAAGGGGGTGGCTACAGGCTGATGGTTGAGCCGGGCGGTATGGTGGGCAAAGCTAAGAAGGCTTACTAACCTCCAACCCCAAGGTTCTTGCCCCAGAAGCGCTCCCAGCCAGAGCTCTGTGGAGACCCCAAGGAGGCCTGGGTGCAGCAGCTGATGAAGCGTCTAGACAAGCCACCAGCCCCCCGGAAAGAAGGCCAGGGCTGTAGGAAGGACAGGGAGACCCAGAAGCCTGGAAAGAAGAGAAAGGGTTCCAAAGGCTGCAAGAGGTGAGAAAGCAGAAGGGACGAGGGGGGAGGTGAAGGGGAGCCTCGGTCAGCCCCTCACAAGCTTCTTCTGCCCCCCAGGACTGAAGAGCCACAGACCCCCCAAAGGGCCTTAGCTCAGTGACCAGCCTGGAGCCCAGGAGGCCCCCACCAGCCTCATCAGGGCTTGAAGCCCCAACCCAAGGGGCAAGAAGGGGACTATAAGAGAGGAAGGACTCAGGAGCCCCAGAGCAGCCACCCCATGCAGCCCTTGTCACACCCCCTTCTGCTGCTTCAGCCAACCCATCTGTATTCCCATCCCTACCTTGCATGGCTGAGTTGCCCATGCTGGGCCAGGCCCAGAGTGACAGAGGAAGGAGACAGCAGGACTGTCCCCTCTGGGAGGTCACCCAGGATCCAAGACCTGACCCTGCTCCCCATTACATCCCACCTCTTCCTTTTAAATGTGATTTATGCTTAACCAAATAAAAAGCTGTTGCAGCCGCCCACCCAAATCCCTGTTCCTGTGTGTATGCGTCACTACAGGGTGGGGTCATCTACTCAATTCTATGTTCCCACTCACCCCAGGTGCCCACACCTCTGGGCAGTTGAAGGGAGGCTAATGGGCCCTGTTTCTGGTGAGTTTCTGCCAATGAATATTCTGCCAGTGTTCCTGGAACATATGTGCACATGTACACACACACACACACACACACACACACACAATCAAGGCTCTGCAGGTCTCTGGGACTCTGCAGGGATTTCCTTTCCTGAGTCTGTTCAGCACTCTGTTACTCCAGCAGTGACTTACGGATCTTTTCCCAGATCTACCAAGGACTGCTTCCCCTTTCCTTAGGGCCTACTGAATGAGAACCTCCAAGTACCCAAGAGGTCCTCAAGAGCAACACTGTGGCCTGGGCCCATTGATAACAAAGGTAAATACAAGTTCTACTGAAACCTACCCTATTTATAATTCCAGCCATAGAAGGAACCCCAAGGACACAAGAGGACTCCTTTCTGCCCTGTTCAGTGAAGTTTCCCCACCCTCTCTGGCCTGTCTCTGTGGAATGGAACTTCTGTGATCTCTTTCTACGTCTATCTGAGCTCTTTGTCTTCCTCAGCTTTTTCCCAGTTGGGAGAGCCTCCTTCCCTCTGTTTTTCCTCTTCCTCTTTTGGTTAGGACTCAGGATACCAAAGCTCCTTTAACTTCTTGAAACTAAGGCTGGGCATTTTGGAAGCTCAGGATCAGAGTAAATCTGTCAGAGTCTTTAGGAAGACTCCACCTGGGCCCCCTACCTCTTGGTCCTCAGAGCAGACACCCTCCTATTCCCCACTCATTTCTAGTCAGGGAGAGGAAGGATGGTTGATTGGGGCCTAGAAATGTAAGAATGAAAGGGGACAGATCCTGGGGAAAAGACAAGAAAGGCCGGGACCTAAGAAGCTAGGGGTGGCTGCCCAGCCCCCTTTCTTTCCATGGAGCCTGAGTATGCCACAGCATTCACCATTTACCCCAAAGCCATTACAGTATCTGCTCTCACTCTTCTTGGGGCTGGTAAAGATGGGGCTCCTCTTTACCCATCCTTGTGTATCAGGTGTGATCTTAGCCTTCAAACTCAGATATGGAAGAAATAATATTGTATTTTTATTTTTGTTTTATTTATTTTTATTTTTGTAGTGCTGGGAATTGAACCTAGGGCCTTGCACATGCAAGGCAGGCACTTCTTGACCAACTGAGCTATAATCCCAGCCCTGTATTTTTTAAATATTCTTTAAGTGAACTTAATTGCTACTCCAAGCTCTTGCACTGAAGTGCTGGTGAAAAAAAATTTTGACATTAGGCACACTTAGGGAATCCCATCTGCAAAAGGCTATAGCAAGTTCATAAAAACACCAAGTTCCAGGGGAGACCACCCACCGACTTCGCCTCCAGCCCCATCCCATCACTGGACATCAGCAGTGAATGCTCTGACCCCTGTGGTCTCAGCAATTATGTTTCTTCAGCTCTGTGCCAAATTTGAATGTGGAGATTCAGATTTGAGAGCCTCTGGGCTTGAACCCGGCCTGCCCTCCAAACCCTCCAAAGTCTTCTATTCAGAGTCCCATCACTTGCTCTATCACAGCCAGGGACTAGAGCCCAGTGTTTACACTGGCTGGAACCACAAACCAATCCTCTCCCCAGCTGTAAAGAATTCTCTCTCCCTCTCCCCATTCCTTCTAGGGCACAACCTCTTCTTTGGTTTACTTTAGACTTTTACAAAAGGCAGAAGGGCCTTTGACATAGGATGCCTCTACCCTCAGCCCAGCCAAAATCCTCATCTGCTCTGGAGTGAGGGGAAAAACTTAAGCAGAACAAACAAAACCTTATAATTCACTGAATTATCCCACCTCGATGACCTGTCTGGACTCGTCCTCGAGCCCTGCGTGCAATATGTTATTGATTTCATCAGAGAATAAATTGTCACTCTCCTTGTCTGCCTTCATCTTTGTCCTTTCTCCTTTCTGTAAAACACATAACTCAAAAAAACATACTTATGGTTTTAAAAACAAATCAAAAAGTACCAGAATCTTATTCTGAACACCACCACTTCCTACAACTTTTAACTCTTGAGCTATTCTTCTAGGACTTACTGCCGTTATCAACAAATACTTTGCTTATACTTTTTGGGAGGTGGGGTGGGGTGTTAGTGGGTATTGAACCCAGGACCTCACACATGAGCACTCTACCACTGAGCTACATTACCAGACTTTTTAATTTTATTTTGAGACAGAGTCTCACTATGTTGCTGAAGCTGTCCTAGAACTTGCCATCTTACTGCCTCAGCCTCCCCAGTAGCTGGAATTATAGGCATGTGCTACCATATCTAGTGCTTATCCCTATTTTGTGTGTGTGTGTGTGTGTGTGTGTGCGCACACCAGGGATTGAACTCAGGGGCACTTACCCATGAGCCACATCCCCAGCCCTTTTTATATTTTATTTAGAGATAGGGTTCTTCTAAGTCACTCAGGGCCTTGCTAAATTTCTGAGGCTGGCTTTGAACTTGCCATCCTCCTGCCTCAGCCTCCTGAGCTGCTTGGATTACAGGAGTGCACCACTGTGTCCAATAATGATCCCTGTTTCTTAATTTATCTGTTTTAAATATTACCACTTGAATTCCTACTGTAAAAAGTGAATATTTGGCTCTTTTACCAACTCTTCTGTCCTGTCACTCCATCCTCTAAATACAACTATCATGATTAGTACATTTAGATCATGATAGTTTACATTATTGTGACTATTGTAAATATTGTTCAGAGCAGTACACTATGCTTACTTCTTTTCCACTCAGCTTTTTTGCTTTTCTTAAATGTTTTAATTGCTCTTCCCTTTTTAAAAATATTTCCCTTGTTGACATTATCAGAGCTTTTCAAATGGTTCATCACACGAAGTGGATTAAAGACCTAATGTTGGGCTGGGGGTGTGGCTCAAGCAGTAGCGCTCTTGCCTGTCATGCACGGGGTGTTGGGTTCGATCCTCAGCACCACATAAAAATAAAATAAAGATGAAGTGTCCACCGAAAACTAAAAAATAAATATTAAAAAATTCTCTCTCTCTCTCTCTCTAAAAAAAAAAAAATCTTTAAAAAAAAAAAAGACCTAATGTTTAAATATGTGTAACAGGGCTGGGAATGTAGCTCAGTGGTAAAGCATCCCTGAGTTCAATCCCTAATACCAAAAAAAGAAAAAAAAATTGCAAGGGAAAAAGTCGATACAACTTAATTCAAAGACATTGGGAGTTTAGGGAAAAGATGACAAATTAAATACATGCCTTTATATTTATTTCTTCCTGAGCCCCTACTAAAACTACAACACAGCAAATATTTTTGATGTGTGTTTGTATGTAAAGGCATAAACACACAAGGACTCGAGTGGAAGGCAACTCTCCAAGAGACTACCGGTTACACAAGTAAATATTTCAGTAAAGATGGGACAAAGTACAAAACAAAATTATAATTTGAAGGATTTCCAATGTCTTGTTCTTGTATACACTAAAAATATATATTTTACTAAATATTAGTATGACCATGGTGAACAGGAAAACAATGATTTCTACTAGAAGTATAAAATGAAAACACAAATTATATCCAAAATTTACAAAATCATCATCCCCTACACATGAAAACACTTTGTCAATTCTTTAACGGCCTCTTTGATTTGAGCTTATAGAAAGATCTTCACAACCTCAGTCATATAAATCTGAAACCAAATTTCAGGTAAGAAGCCAGGCTTCCTTTTTTCTTTCTTTCTTTCTTTTTAAATTTTGAGACAGGGACTTGCGAAATTGCTGAGGGCCTCGCTAAATTGCTGAGGCTGACTCTGAACTTATGGTCCTCCTACCTCAGCCTCCTGAGCTGCTGGGATTATAGGCATGTACCACCATGCCCAGCCTCCATTTTTTTTTATTTCTTAAAATTTGTTTTAATTAGTTATACATGACAGTAGTTGGTTCATTATAATTATACATAATAGTGGAAATCATTGTTGCATATTCATATAAGAACACAACGTAATTTGGTCAATTTTATTCTTCCGCATCTCCCCTTTGCCTTCCCTCCTTTCTCCCCCTGGACCCCTTCCTCTACTCTATGACTCCCTTCTAGTTTCACAAGATTTCCACCATTATCATCCTCTTTTATATATATATTAGTTGTAAATGGACCTTTATTTTATTTATATGTGGTGCTGAGACTCAAACCCAGGGCCTCATACATGCTAGGCAAGTGCTCTACCACTGAGCCACAACCCCAGCCCATATCACCCCCTTTTTAAAATCCTTTTTCCTCTCTAACTTGCATATATGAGAGAAAACATATGACCCTTGATTTTTTTAGTTTGGCTTATTTTGCTTAACACAATGCTCTCAAGTTCCATTTTTATTCTTCTATTTTTATGTTCTCTCTCTTTCTTTCTCTCTCTCTAATATATATATGCACACACACGCACACATGCACACACTCACACACAACTCCATTGTGTATACTACCACATTACCTCTATCCATTCATCTGTTGATGGACACCTAGGTAGTTTCCATAGTTTTGCAAGTCAGGTTTCCTAACAACCCCCTCTGCCCATGATACCTGGACCACACCATGACTAGCCACAATTTCATTCTTTGGTCATTAATCCAATCCTTTAGAGGAATACGATCACCAGCAGTTAGGTGTGTGTGTGGGGGGGGTGTTTTTTCTATAAGTGTGTGTGTGTGTGTTACTGGAGATTGAACTCAGAGCCTCATAAATGCCAGCACTCCACTACTAAGATACATTCCCAGTCTGTTTTTTTTTTTTTATTAACACCTTAAATTTTTTTAATGAGGCAGCATGAGGCCATCAGAACAACACATGTAATATACCTGGAATTTTCCACCTTGCTGTATGGCCTAGTGAATTTCAGAAGGATGGGGCTTGTCACTTGAAAAGCTCAAAATAACTTGAAAATTTTCACAATAAATGAAATCTCCATGAAACTATATATG